AGCTAGAGACAGCACCACGGCTAGAGTTGTCAAGCATGACAACACCCGCCCAATGGCGAAGTAATAGTTAAGCGCTGAGCGCGTTGCCTTCATTGCAACGGCGGCCTGGCGGCCCCGCGTTATTCTAAGAGGTAGCCGTGGTGAATTCGGAATAGTTTTCCGAGCTGATGAGACGTTACACAGCGACTTTTGCTGCTACACGGATCACACAATCGACGCCATTAATCCGGTACACAACACAAATGCTTTATTCGCTGGAGCGTAAACTTTACGTGATCCCGTTGAAAGGATATCTCCTTTCGCTTTCGTTATCCGCAAGCAAGCGGTTAGGTGGACCGTTTTCTCCGCGGTTATGAAAGGGGGCAGAGGGGCCACTTCGACCGGCGACTATGGAACGGAGGGATGCAACAACGGTTAGTGATGCACGAAGCAGACGAAGACGATACCGATGAGACAGCAGCATACAATACGCTATCACTGATTTTCACTGATTCACCTGCCGCACGTCTGCCCGATCTGTTGCTATCGATGCTAAACGACATTCCGAATGCTAGCACAATAAAGTGTCAACTGAATGGTAATAGTGGTGAGGGCTGCGAGCCCGTAGGACGGACGGGCCGCCAGAGGCAGCACCGAATCAGTACTCGATCGTCCGCCACTTCGGAAAGTACATCATCGAGCTGGATGGCAGCGGACGACGAAGTAAGTCGACATAACGTGATCCGCTACTACCGTTGCATAGCGTGACGCCAATTGTCTCGTATCAGTACTAGTGGTAATATCGTGTATAACTCCTACCCCTTTGCTGCAAGTGTATGACAAATATATTACACATACAATATACGTGCGTAAGCAGTCCCAGTATTCTCCTCGCCTCTTGGGACATGCACATGACGCTCATTACACGTAGACTGATAATTAAGCTACTATAACAACCATCAACAGACTGTATATGGCTGACTATGATACCACGCGCGTTTTTGAGTCACTGGTACCATAGTTTTAACAACGACCGTAAAGTATTTGTCATCTAATAACTGCCACAGCCAACACATGAGCGTGATGCTGGTGGGATTGGTCCGCGGCCGTTGCGGCAGTGACGAGAACTCGGCTGATAGTCCCCCTATGGACAGCGATGGTGCCCGTGAAGTGCTGGTAGCTATTGTCACAGCACGAACTTCCCACACAGCATCAGTCCCTGCTGCTGCTATAATTTCTTCTATGCAGCTTGTCTCTTGATCTCGTAGCAGTCGATTACGTTAGTCAGCGAGTGTCCGTACATGTCTTTGTAAGTTCCCGAAGACAACATACGTCCGCTTGAAACATTCACAGTGCGCGCGAGCTTCTTGCAAGCAAACGGCCCGTGGCCACCAATTAGTTGCTGAGGGCCCATTTCGTCGTGCACTGCTGAACGGTGCAAACGCGACACCGTTGCCAATGCGCGCACACGCACAGAACCAGGAAGACGGACAAACGTACGCGACGAACACTCTCATAGAACTAAAATAGTACGTCACAGACTATTGCAAACTACCCACTCTCGGACGCAAGCCTGTATATATGAGTGAGGAATGGGCACCAAAATTCAAATTGACCCCAATCAACTCTATCACCCTGTTAGCCGACCTAGAATAGATACGGCGCAGGAAACTAGTAACAGTACATGCGCACAGATATTCAACACGGATAACTTCATTCGCTATTATAATCACCACTTGTATGTGTACTCATCGTTTGCGTAATACAATCTCAAGCACAACGGTGGGGATCGAGACGACATTCAGTAAGGGCTTTCCAAGGGCGAACGGTAGGCTTAAAGACAAAAAATGCACCAACAGGACTTATGTCTCCTAGGCAATGAATACTCGTATTTATGGAAAAAATTGAGACGAGAAGATTGACCTAGTTTGGCTTAGATCAGCTTTACGCGAAACGCATGGATGCTACGATTTCTTCAGGCGCAGGAGTCCACAGGATACGCAGAAATTTGATTTACTGCTCGCGTCGAATTGAACCTCCTAGGAGTCGGTTACTCTAGCTCAAGCAAACTTCATACCGACATATGAAGCTCGGAATAGGAGACGATTGTAATTATGACGGGGAAATTGGTTTTTTCTAACTGACAATGTTTCGAATCAGGTAGTGCATCAATAGTCTACGCGAAAATAAAAACAAAAACATACGTTGCCAAGTAAGCGGCTCACCACTAATGAAATTTTAAGCTATAAAATATGCTGTAAAATTAGATTGCTACTGTCTATTCTAAATATATCAGGGTGAGATTTTTTGACTTATAACAGTTTCCAAAGATGTTTTTTACAATTGCTACAAAGCTAACACTTGATTATTTTACTCTTTGTAGTGATTAGCCGAAACTCTATTTTGTAAAGGAAAACATGGACGATAGTGGATTTCGCGAGTGGCGTCGGCAAGCTTCCTATATGATCTTTCAATACGTACGTTCCAAAGAAGCCAAATTATCTCCTCCATACTCTAATTAGAGTAACACGTATCCAATACCGGTCGTTAGAAAAACGGTGCCAGTCCCGTGAGGACAGCGCTAAATTCGGCAAGGACGACTTTTTTTCTGTGTTTCAACTTAATGGTGCGTCCGCAATGACTAAGTTCCTTAAGCGAATAATGTGCTACCAAAAAAAACAACGTAGCCAAGTAATCTAAGGGACTAGTGAAAAATTATCAATTACGTTTATGCTTAAAATGAATCTATCTCAAGTTGCCACTATCGACACTCGGTGCTGTTTCCCAACTTACTATGAACGAACCAACCAAGTTACTCGTACGTAAAAAAAAATCGCATTAGAAATAGATGTTTTCATGCTACCGGTTTGGATGTACGGTTACTGTGAAGCTAAATACACGATATAGAAAATATATATATAGTTAGCTACCCAAACAATCAGTAAACAAGATGTCTGTGACACTATGCATATCGTAAAAATTTGTCAGAATGTGTCAGCAATGTTGTAATCCATTGTTGACGAAGAACTGGCTTTACCGTCCAACTGAAATCAATGTAAGATGACGTGTTTTGCGGTATGGTCCTAATTCAGTTTTATCACAGTTCACGAGCTGTTTGCCATTCTACTGTATTTTACAATACATCGTGTCCTTCTCTACGCGTGGGCGCATGACAGATTCATTTTTTTAAAGCCATTTCGACGGCAGATTGGAGCACTTCTGTTGCTTACGGCAGCGAGTCGTACCAAATTATTCTAGCTATTCTTGAAACATATATGCGACCCTGAGCATCGAAACTAGATCTTCGTTGTAAATATCTAGCTGCTGCAGGAATAACAGACGTATCAAGTTGGTCAGCTCCAGTAATAACAGGACAAGTATTAGAAATAGCCAAAACGGATGGGCCCAGAGATCGGTATGCATCCTATAGCCACGAGCCGGGACCGAGCGTAGAAACGAATCGACGAAAAACAGATTGCGTTAATTGCGTGACGTCGGTGCTTAGACGGCTCCCATTGACGCTGCACCAACTACCAACGAATCGTCGCTTCTCTGTCGGAGTGACTGATCTTTGAACTAATACAAAAATGCAACATTATTCTGGCAAGAACAGCAATACTATAATGAAGAAATCAATGGCTAGACATTCTATTTGATAATACGAGGTTCGGAGACACTCTTTATCGACTTTCAAGCTTTTCTTCTAGACGATCATTCTTAAAGTAGTTGCCATTGCTCCGTCCACCTAGAACCGTAAATTGAGTGATGATTCAATAGACGGACCTTTCAGAACAGAGTCAGGCCAGATGGTAGGCCGCCGAAGCGTTCGGAACGTCAGTCGACCGCAGCGTCTTTTGGAAACGTTGACCAGCCAAATGCTGATAGATGCAGTGTGCGTATTTAGCTCGCTTACACAGAACAAACCGTTGCAACAACAACAGAAACTGGTATTATACTCATCACAAACATAAACCCGTATAACTGCTATTTGGCTTTTTGTGTACGTAATCGCATGAGTCAGACATCACATTGCAATCTAGTACATCGACAATTTAATCCACAAAGACCAACAGAAAGGAAAACCTAACCCCCTAATACGATTGGCGAACGATTTTCAATTAGACTATTCCGATCATAGACCGTTAAGACACAGCTAGCCCTCTCAAACAAGACGCTCAATGTCCCTTTTCCAGGTAACTATACTGTTCACTTTTGCCATGACTTCCTATCCAGTACGTCAATATAGAGACGTTTGACGGTCAATGAGTTGCAGAGAAAGTTGTGATACACATCAGGCTATTCGATGGCTCTGAGAGCACTGAAAGTGTTCGCTAAGGAACGATGTCATCATGGTTTGGCCGTGACAGAAAACCGCTGCACCCTCATAAAACAAATAGTCGGCAAATTTCACCGAAGTCGGAGCAGCTTGATCCATTGTCATTAGACGGAAGGACAAAAAAAGCTTTTGACGATGGCGGCCGAGGGATGATTAAACCAATTCGTAAATGCGTCATCTACGTGACTCTGCATATTCTGGACGAGTTCGGCCATTCTGTCGTCATTGAGCCTGCTAGTTGGCTGTAAGTGATCCTCCAAAACAAAAACATCTATTGGGATCATTGCGTGCTAGCTTAAAACAACCCGAGTGACACTCGCATGTATTGAGTGGACCCTTCAGCAGCAGCACGCGCTGTACGCTGTATTTGCTAGGCAGTGAATGGGGCAGCAACTGCAAAGGTTTAGAAGTAACGGTGTACGCCAATATTTCGTTCATTCAGTGTAAGATATACGTGGTTAGGGGTCAAGGAAAAGCTAAATTCTGTGCACCAAGAGATGTTATTAATTGACAGCAATGAACTAGAAGGTCGTCCGTGAGCTTTAGTATTAACACGACGACGATTGCTATCAATTAAGGAGTCGTGTGCCGGTGAACTTGAAGTAACACGTACCACGTATCTAGCTGTTTTGAGGAGAAAAACTAGTTTTTCAATGAAGGATAATATTGTTAGTGTTACACTGACCTTTACATACGTCCCCGTCGGCGACGAACGGTGGCAAACAATGGCAAGTTGACTCAACGCACTGTTTATTTGGCGAGCAATCGTTTGAGCCACGACAGCGCATCTTGATAGGGCTAAAACGATAAAATTGAATGTATCATCATTCTACGTCAGAGTATCATGTAACCTTCGTATGCGAGGATGACCCTTCTGATCGAGACAGACAAGGGCAGATAGAGCAAGCTACGGGGACCATTCCTATTGATTTAGAATTTTTACACCAAAAAATTTAACAGTCGCTGAATTTCGAGAGGTAAGGCTATATGGGGCAGCTCCGTAACGATAAAAAACGTTATACTACATGATTACTCGGAGGGCTCTTTTGGCCAGGACTAGATAAGTTCGCCGGGTTTACCCTATTTCGAGCATATATTATATCGGTTGCCATCGACGTTAACAGGACAATGGAAAGAACTGCCCGTCTACCGAGTACATAACTGTGTTATATATTATCCTGCATGTGGTAATTAAAGTAAATTTTAACGGGTTTATTGGTACGACACATCGTTCGGACAAAACAATATTGTCAACATGGACATTACATTGCAGTTAGTCATCAGAGTTTACTATGGATAATTATTTCCACCAGGATCGTACACAGCCAAGGTAATTATACAAGTTTGATATCAGTAAAGTTGACTTTATTGCTATTACTATCCTCTCCTCGAACAAAATGCAAATCCTGCTTGCGCTAATATCTGCACCATTTAAAAGCCGGCTTCATTGAACTTAATATCGCCCTATAGCAGACGAATCATAACGTAGACTGACTAAAATTAAAGATTAAAATAGATGACTGACTATAAAGCGTCAGCTTGCCTAGCCATGATCACAGCTCTCAGAATAAGAGATTTTTTTGCACGAAATTACTGCTGACCCATATAGCCCCACATTTAACCCATATAAACCTATTTTATTGGTACAGGTGTCTTCAATTTACAGTTTCTCTCCATAATTCTCCGCCATCCATAACCATCAGCGAACTCCATTTGGCCGAATCTTCGACAAATATACGTGTGAAGTTCGTTTTGCATCGTTTGTTTACGACGACAGCATTTAACAAACGTTGGCTCTAGTGGTCCTATCCCGCTATACACTTGTTAACTATTTATAGGCTTCGTTTCAAGCTCATGACATCATGGGGTGTATATATACAGAGATGCTTGAGTTAGATTCTGTATAGATGCGACTTGGATTAGGTGGATTGGGAACTTCTTCAGCGAAGAAGCACTCATCAGTCATTAATTGATCAACGATGAGACATTACGTGCTCCTAATGAGACTGACAATATTAAGAGTTCTTACATTTAATTCGCTTGTCAAAGTAGATAGAGTTCAGAAAAGTTTTTGTTGAATGGAGAAAAATTTAAATAGTCTACTTGGGCGATATGATTATTGTCATCTAACCTGCAGCCCTGTTTTGGGTTTCCGGTAAAACCAGGTGCGCAAAGACACTGGTACGATCCAACGAGGTCGCGACACTGTGAGTTAGGGCCGCAGGGGTTGAAGCCTCGAACCTCGGTGCATTCATTAATATCTGAAATTTTAGCAATCAAAGATGTAGTCCTTTTCTCTTTCTCCCTTAGTTCCTATGCATTCATTTGCCAATTCTGCTGATCTTTATCCTATTCTTTAATGTCCCAAACTAAATCTTGAAGTAAAAGTACATGACACACGCGCTAAGCGTACGGCAAGTGCCAAAGCTAGCTAGTAATAAATCATCTTTATTACTTGAGACATTTTTCAAAGCACGACCCACAGCCAATTCTAAGGTCTAAATAGATAAAAAAAAATCGATTTTATTTTAAAAAGGTCCAAAATTCTTATCCTATTAATACGATGTCAAAGCAATTGTCTGCAGCCTATATTCAACAACAAGAAGATGCAGAGTATCGAAATTTCACTGCTAATCGGATATGAAGATTTCTAAGTAGGTAGAGCGGCAGCTTTTTTTGGCATGACGTCAGTTGGGGACAGAATTACCCATTGACACCATTTTAATGACGCGGAACCCGGATTCACTTGGAGCACATAGTTTGAATTTCAGATGCCAATAACCTTTCATCTATATGATATAAGTCAATTTGTTAAGCGAGAGAACTGAGTAGTCAAATTTGACAGAGAAGTATGTCAATTTTTGTGCGAGTACACAACTGATATGCTGACGACAACTGATCCAAGCCTTGTGACCCATTAATAGTTGCCTATTGTTCATTTCATACACGAGTCATCCAACATAATGACTTTTTATACCACAACTTGAGTGCGGCAAAACGTGTTTCGTAAATGAAAAAGATTGCTACGACTGTCCTAGTAGAAAGTATTTTAAGTGGCATGGATACCTGGAACGATTTGAGTGGCCTAATATATGTCCTTCCCTTGTAGCCTATTTACCATCATAGACTTTTAACGATGATATGTTAAATGTCTTATTGAATTTTACTAGGTGAAAGGTAGCAGGCAAGAAAACCTGCGGCCCGAGCAAGTGAGTGATCGACTGTGACACGATAGGACACTCGGCAGCTTGCATAACTATATACGTGTGAAGGATTTAATAGCTTTTGTATTCGAATACTCTCTCCTAGTCTCGAAGAGTCCGTCCGAGATTTTGCTGGGTCACATAGCGGCTATGTCACGTCTATCGTATAATAACTAAATCCACGTCCTTGTACACGCCCTCATAAACAATATACGGGATAGAGGAAACTGTTTTGACCAAGTGCGATAGTGCCGCGCCATATAAGAACCATAAGGACCACAGTATGGTCAAAAAAACATATCTTGCTTTACGATGATTGGAAATACACTCGCTTATGGCATACATTACAACGCTGCAGATCTTGCTATGTGGACGGCAGTCTCTCCTTCGTGTGTGTGAATAAATGAACTCTTGCACTTCAAGGCCATCTTCCCCTATTCGGATTGGCCTAATGGCTTTTCGTTAGAACTCGACGATGTTCAATCGACCGTGATCGTTCGTCGTTCGCACTGTGAAGCAGCCATACGCTTTGTACACTAGTGGGTGTACACTGTGTGCAATTAACCGGTAAATGAGTACATTCAATATGATACATATTCAATCTTTGCTGATCGATCCACCCGTAATTAATCTAGTGATTAATTGATAACAGCTAGATAATCAAGTTATCCTGCTTGACAAAGAAATGCGCTTGCCCGAGCCATCGATTTGACAACAAGTAGCAACAATGATTAGCGCAATAAGAACAACAGGTGGCGCCAGCAATAACGTTTCTCCCCTTTTCTCCTAAAATACGCACCGAGAGGTCCATTAACTAGCTTCTTTTATACTAATTTTTATCTGATGAGGCAGACGATTGCCTTCTTCTGTTTAGCATTGGGGCCCCCATTTTGGCAATCATGTGGAATGACAACCCCAATAAAATAGTGAGACAAATGTTACCCACTTCGGCATTTCCCGTTGGCTTCGAGAGTGTATCCTTTTGGGCAAATACAATAACCTGTCGTAGCAGTGGTAAAGACGCATTCGTGGTTTTCCAAGCAAGGAGTTAACGTTGTGCAATTTTGACCCAACACTGCAACGAAACAACGTACCATTTGGTTAAGCTGTAGTCTTTTTGTAAACCCTAGAAAAAAAAACACTATTATACTTCACGTATGCCAGTAGCAAACGATGTCCTTTACATCGTAAGAAGGCTTTACAGGCTTTAACAGGTAACAGGCTTTAACAATGTCATTTCAACCGAAACATTCTCGAATCGATTCTAGGGCCAACTTACAGACACAGTAGTCTCCTTCGCGCTGAAATGGTGGGTGACAACCACATCGGCCAGTCTCGTTTCTGAATGTCTTGAGACACACCGTATTGCCAACGCAGTCTTCGTCCTATTACAAATTATCGAGAGATATGGCGCGAAAAAGGTCATTTCAAATAGTTATTTAATTTAATTAATTATTGAAAGCTGTCGAATGTCCTTCAACACTCAGGCTTCTCTTTGAGCCAGAGGAATATCTACCTCGTATTAAGTCATAAGCTTTCTTAGACTATCCTGATAACGTTATTCCGTGACTAACAGGTGTATAGCACAGGTCTCAAACGTCGCTTGTTACATCACTGATAGGATCCTTTCTGAATAAGGTTGGCATTATCATTGAGCGGGCATCGTACTTGCGAATCGAAATCTGAATGGATACTAACTAGGTGGAAGGTACTCAACCTATCGACACTCAGCAGCCCGTGAAGTTTGTGCATTATAGCCTAGTGTCATATTGTTAAATCGATTTAACAACACGATGTTATAAAAACAAAAGAAAAAGAAAAAAGCTTTTCATTCTCTAATAATAAGAATGATTCACCTTTTTCTAATGTTGTTTGTGAAAGCTATCCCGAGAGCTTGGTAGCCCGTAAGTAAACGCAATAAACGGGATCGTCTAGTTCGCATAATGCTATTAAGACCGATGTTTGTATGGCGGGACCAGGGACCGAATAGCGTAAAGGCTTGGTCGTCCCAAGATCACAAACTATGTGTGTATAGAGAAGCAGAAGATGCGTTATCTATTTTAAGAATGTCGCTCGCGTTTTTCTAGCACACACATATAGACCAATAACAAACAGTTTTACCTTTCGACACTCGAGAGCCTCAGGATGGCAGCAATCATAGGGATCACCAATATAGCCTGCAGGACATTGACATTGGTACGAGCCATCAAGATTCTGACAGAAGGCGTTGCGTCCACATGGCTCGCGCTGGCGAAACTCTGTACATTCATTAATATCTGCCAAATAAAGATACAATGATAGCAATTCAGAACATATTTGATGCGCTTGATACATGCCTTAGAACTTCGACCTGCCCTAATCAGCTGCTGATAATAATGTTACAAGGAGGATCGCCAAATTGGAGGCCAAATAGCAACGATCGCAAATCGATCTCCTCTGATTTCAAAGTACAATGCATAGAAAGAATTGCACTGTTTAAACTGCATGTAGTGATGATTCTAGAGTCCTAGAATAGTACCGCGTTTGCAAGAAGCATTCACGTAGCCTGCCATTAACTGGTATTCTTCCCCGGAAGGCCAATGGTTTGACACCTTAGGACACATTTATTGACTATTGTCATATTTAGATGAAAGCGTCTTGAAGTGAACAGTGACCTGGTCCTTTTACTCATTCATACCTCTGCAACGTCCGAGTTGCACGTCGAACGTGAATCCCCTTCGGCAAACGCAGTCGTTTCGACCATCGATGGCAACACATTCCTCGTTTAAACTGCACGATTGGGGCTTTGAGGGTGAACACGCGTGAACGACTTGGTTCTCCTAGAAGCGGTAAATAATAACGACACATAGGGCAGTGAGAAAAAAAACCCAAGTAATTACTTGCATATGGTGTATCGGAAAATATTTTCCGAATTCAGCCAAGTCACAGCAGGGAATGACGCATCGAAGTTTCGTGCAGAGTGTGCACAGTCGATGACTTATCCACAAATGCTGAATGCATAATGAGTGCTGAGTACTTGCCTTGTACAGACAGCCTGCATAGGGATCCCCTGAGGCGCCGTGAGGGCATACGCATTCATATGATCCTGGAAGATTTCGACAAACTGCGCCGGGACCACACGCTTTTTCCTGGGCGTGACATTCGTCTATATCTAAATGGCGCAATCCACAAGTTGTATAGCATATCGTTAACATATCGCAACTCCCTACATTGGAATAGTTGAATTTTTTAGAGAGCTCATTGAGTTAAGGTCACGTAAAAAATGGACAAGCTTCCCAACTATATTTTTTTATTTACAATATGCATAATACGTATTTATAATAATCAGCATAGTTAACAATAACTTGCAATTATTCTCTAGCACTAACCTACACAACCTCCCAATGAGTTTGAGTGGCCGGTGTATCCATGTGAGCAAACGCACATTGTGCCGTCGTTATCATCCAATTCGCAGGTAGCGTGGTTACCGCAGAAAATTAGATCGCATGGATCTGCAAGTAAACAGACGTTTCTTAATATATACAAATCAGCTAAATTCGCATCTTGCACAAATGAGGCGTTACGAATTTTCATCGTCCGAGGAAGGCAATATAAACTGGGTAAACAAAGTCTAGGTTCCATCTAGCAGACGCAATTTTTCTTGCTTTCTCAAAATCAGCGAAGAAAACCGCTTGAGTGTATTTCAGGAGAAATGAGTTCAGAAGGAAAAACTTTTTTTAGTTAAAAAAAAATCAACGCTAGGCGGTCAAGTTCTTGTCCTTTTAGGGCGACAGCGCTGCGAGACTGATGAAGACGTTAAGCAAATGACCTTAAGCAAGAGCACAGTTCGTTAATGGCGCCATTTGGCGTTTTAAGATCGGACACGTTGGGACCCGAAGGACAAAAACGCATCGCTGTAATCGAGGAGGTTTTTTAAGAAAAAATAAAAACTTAACGGGGCATAGTTCAATCTCTACCGTGGAATTTAGTCAAAATGGCTCGGGCGTAAGGTGACAATAGTGTTAATAATAAAAGATATACATCTGCTACTATCAGGTACCCGCTGAAAATTAAACGATGAACGCAGCGCACTATCTGAAGCTCCTCAAGCGGCTCATGCATCATTAGCACGGCCAGCAAAATCACGTAGCCTGATTACTTGATGACAACGCCAGACTTCAGCACCATGCCTCACTTATTTTCTGAATTAAGCGAAGGAGTGTCGAACGTTGATTTCAGTCCTCTTTTTCTCCCGATACAAGTCCGTATTATTACGGGACTGCTCATGTTTTAAAACGGGCAACTATTGGGCAATTGACAAAGACCGATTTACATCGAAAAGCCCTAGACAAAGAAATTACATATAGGAAATGGATAGTAAGCATATCACTATTTAAGGTCTATCCGAGGGCCGTAAAGAAGAAAGGAGAGTACCTCTAACACAAATTGAACAATCATCATTTCATACAAACAGTTATTCAAAATTCGTTGGATTCGCGTACAAGAGCCCGATACAATATATTGGTTACACATTCAATATGTAATCAAAAACAACGAAGTCTAAAAAAGATCTTTCAAGAAACCCATTTTGCCGTCATAATGCTCTAAGCTAATTAACTTACTTTTGCATTCTGGTCCGAAATTCGGAGCCATGCAGAAACATTGGCCCTGTCGACAATCAGAGTGTCCGGGACAGTCACTGCGGGACGAGCAGATTGACAGAAGAGCGCATCCGGTTCCGTCGTATGCATTTCCCGTGTGACCGGGCGGGCACTGGCATGAGAAGTTTCCTAAAAGAAATATACGTAGGACGTAAGTAAAATGAGTCATAATCTTTCCGCAGGTGCCGAACGTCGCTCTTCCATCATTGGGGATTTCAATAAATGGTCATTTGCTGGCAAAAAAATAACGATAAACAGAGAATTTTCCAGCAAATCGTTTCACATAAGCCTCGTCTACTATTTCAATCATTTCGAAAGCTGTTCGTGCTCGTCGAGACGTGTTGCGTCTCTCAAAGCTGTGACTTGTTATTTAGCCGATTTTACGATTTAGTCAGTGTCTCTGCATCGGAAAGTTGTGTGAAAGCTGATTGGCCACGGACGAACTCTTTGCTTCTATTGTCTATGGGTGGACTTTACGGAACTTGCTCTGTGCTGCTAATCTGAGTTGCCTCACCGAAAAAAAACTTTAACCTTAATGTTATAGAACTAGCAGAGGGAAAACTTATAGACAAGCAACAACTGAATGATTGAGATTACTGTAGGCTGTCACGAAATTGACTTGATACGGATGGGGGTCCCTACCATAAAGACCTTGACGTAGCGCATGGACCTAATTCAAGCAAAGACCCTGACCCATGCGCTAAATCTCAAGTATTCTCTTGTCAAGGGGATAAGCTTGCGAGCGAGCTCATTGGATCACTAGCTGTTCGCACTAATATAGTATAGTGACTATCGAGAGACGAAGCACTCTTATCCAAAGTTGTCTGTGCGCTTGTTATGTCGCAGACACAAAATAGAAAATACTGAGCTATGATCATTGCGTACGGTGGAATAGCACTATTGCAATGCTAACAATATATACCTGGCGCAAGGCGCCGCAATCCGACGAACACGACCCGAGAATCTATCCAGGGAACAAATAGGCGAATTGAAGGTTCCTCAAGGGTATCCGAAGGGGATCCTCCGAAGTATCCGAGATAGTTCGAAACGAACGTCATTTATCTGGGCACTGAGCTACGTCGCACGCAAGTTCTTGCTGAGGCAGTCCGACCACCACACGGAAACTGGAGACTTTAGCAATCGCTACTTGGAGAGTTCATAGAATAGTATCGAATCTCAGATTACCCAAAAATGCTAGGGTTAATTCTGGAACGTGCCAATAAGTAAATATCCGCATACTTGAACAAAGACTATCCAAGCGTGTCCACAACAAAGCACTCAGAAGCACAGAAGAGCATTCGTATACCTTGCAGATGAACGAGAGGTAAAGATAGCAATGGCGGAAAGGCCACTCCGAACAGCCGGAGTAGACGTTAGGCAAAACAAAGTCGATTACTGGCAACGATCCACGGACCACCACTTAGCTTATCGTGTCGACTTTCAGGTGCGAAGGCGCGTTCAGTACTGCTAGCTACTTTTTCAGGGAATCCGAATGCTCGATTTCTTTAGATCCGACCGAAGGCTTTACGTATGTACCAAAAGCGAAGAGCTAATTTGGTGGTTTGATGGCAATTAACCAGCACCTTGTGGGTACACGCTAACTCTTTCTATAGACTGCTAGATTTTTATTGCTGTTGCGAGGACAACAAAGTGGCGATATGATTGACGATGAAGGAATAACAACAATTTCGGATTCTATCAAAAATACGGGCTCATCAGATATGACTAAAACCGCTTAAACGGTCACGCCACACGACTGAACTCAGCTTTGAAGGGCGCAATTTCCACATGTGCACACTTTCTGGCTTGCGCGAACGGTTTTCGAGGTGATCGGGAAAAGTAGACGAGGTCTGCGTTGAAGTGTTGATCAGCAAATGTATTGTTTGTGCTTTGTCAAAGTTACCACTAATTATTCACGCAAATGAGCAAAGAAAAAATAATTGCTGATACACGGTACTTGCGTGTAGACCTGAATTAAACAGCCTGTTTGACTCCAACAAACGACTGGGTGGAGCCCACCACTGCACGTACAAAAACTAAGCTTACCAGGAATATTAGTACATAAAGCGTTTCGTCCGCATTTTCCGTTTGGACCAAAAGCTGTCGAGCATTCATTGATGTCTGCAATCGAAAAATAAACGTGTTTACCTTAATTAGAGGATAAAGTTCATCTGAACAGGTAACCTAGCATCGTAAACCTATTTCAGACCCCTTAAAGAGCAAAATTGTCACAAGGCTTTCAACTGATACTAACGCGGTTCTAAATAAAAATACGTCTATGGTCACTCATAGCAATGTACTAATCTATATTGTAGGCAAATATTCGTACGCACCAGTGTGGATTCAAGGGCAAAAATCATATCATATAGTCCCAGTAGAAGCTGGGCTTGACGTATATATTCAATATAAAATAACTATTGTTATAACTACTATAATAATAACTTTCTGATAATACGCATGCTAATAGAAAAGCATACCAGAACACTTAATGTGGCCATTTCCGGTAAAGCCTGCTGGACAATGACAGGAAAAGGATCCTACTCGATTTGTACACAGAGCGCCGGAAGCGCATGCGCCGTACGGGCCGCCCAATAAGCACTCATCGATGTCTTCGCATTGGATAAATGGGTTGCCTGACAAGTGATTAAAATTTGGTTAAAAATTGATACCCGTTTCTTGGCCTGACGAGATTGCCACTTTTCGCAAAAGATTGCCCCTGTGCCCCTGCTACTACCGTATCCCAAAGGAATAGTATCACGGGTTTGAAATTGACAACGTGACACGAAAAAATAATTCATTCAACTAAGAACAACAAATAAAACGTATTTCTTATCTGAGCTAATTTATTTCCTATAATTAAGATATAAGATTGATAATTCAAATTTGTGCGGCATGAATTATGTATACTCTATTTTATTACTAGCTTTATTTTAAATGATATTATAGATAACGAAAACAAGTCAGCGAATTACTGTGGGATTCCGCTGAAGTATTGGTCAAGTAGTAAAATCAAAGGGACTTTAGCAGTCTTAAGTGTTTATATGAAGGAAGGCATCGTATGAGCCCGGAAAAACTTTCTCGTGTGTTTCAATCAATTTGAGATAATCACGCTGCGCAGAATGCGGGGCGATTCAATATTATACACAACGAAATTTGTATGTATTGTTAGTCCCATAAATAAATCGTAAGAACGAACGTTTCGTATGTTGCCATTATTTGAAAATAGTGAAAAAAAAAAAAAAAGAGCTATCGAGTTGTTTATTCTAGCTGACCATGTCCTATAGTGGTAACATGTCCATATCGATCTATATACCCGTAAATCCAGGTGGGCACGCGCAATGGAAGCTCCCAGGGACGTTCGTACAGAACGCGCCTACGCCGCACAAACCCGACGGACCATGTTCTATTCCGCACTCATTTACATCCACACAGCCCGCGTCAATATCCGACGGATTGAATGTAAAACCTACATCAGTATCAAATCTCGATTAGAATCGTAAACGATAATCATTTATGTTACCAAACGATAAGCCTTGGCAAAATACAGCGCTTGGGTTTGAACGCCTCGCTACAAATGTTCACCTAGCTAATATATAGACATACATATGGCATAACGTCAACGTTTCGCGACTGTCTCTCGCTTATAGATCAGTAATTTCGTAAGGGGCATATACACCGTAGACTCGCTACGAACCGTTCAATTCCATTTGATGATACTGCAACGCCGCATCTTTGTCACACTTTCACCTTTCGACATGTTACAACCACAAGCATAGCGCCCACCCCTACACAACTTTACATAGAATCAGAAATAATCGATGCAGTGGCCCCAGACTTATTACACTCTATTACTTGGCTATTTAATGCTTGAACGCCTATCTCCGTTATACTGCCATATAGGTAAGTACGCACGTGCGATTACATACAATATTGAAAACTAACCAATGTCGCATATACAAGCCGCTTCCCTCCCGTTCGCCTGACATGTCGCATGCGTACCACATTGAACGGCGTCGCAAGGGGCTGAAATTATCGAGGCGTCAGAAATCCATATGTGTTTTTAGTTTCCATAGCTAACATGTAATGTGAAGGGACTGGAGAGCAGACGGCCCATCGCTCTTAACATTACATGTAAGACTGGCACAGAAATAACGATACGATACACAAAAACACCAATTACCTTCGCTCTGGGTGGAACTATAGGGCAAACTATTAAGGCCAAAGAAATTATCAAGTAACGCTTATAATATAATTCATCGGTAAATTTAACATAATTAATTTTCTCGAATTAGAAACTATACAGTGCGATGTAAGTGAATATTTGAAATAAATCAAAAACATAAAATTGCGTCCATTATCTAAATAAAACTCGACGTAAGTATCCACCTACATAGGGCTTGGCATCATTTAATCAAGAGGTCGATTTTAGCGAGTCGTCAAAATCCCCGAGGAGTGTAATACGCTCCCTAGTTAACAGAAATATGTCTATGTACGGAAATATAACAACTTCTGTTTCAAAGAGCAGTAACTTAGCGTGTTTACACATGATCCGTCCTTTCCGTCAACGATGTTACTCTTTCATATAAAGCGGCTTGATAAGGAGCAACGAGATCTTAAAGCGCGGTCATTTCTAAATTACGATAACTGCATTAAATAGTAAACATTAGTTCAACGATCGACCTGCCTATATACCTTATATGCTTTGACGTACCGCTTCTTACTGCAAACATTTTCGTTACCAGCACGAAAATCTTCGGTAAGCGTCCTAGCAAGAGGCAAGCCGATTGCTAATGAGACGGGCAAGGTTGACGAAACCGGATTTGATTTGAAACAGAAAATATAGAGGTTCGATTTCACTGAACTACGAACAACGAGATTATGTATGCAGTGATTGTGTACGTACAAATGCACGCTTCCTTCGGATTGCCGATGAGGTTATCGGGACAGACGCAGCGAAATCCGCCATCTGTGTTGATGCACTTCGAGTTTAAACCGCAAGGGAATGATGATTGTGCGCACTCGTCCATGTCACGACATTTCGCCCGTGGGTCGGGTGACACCTGTGACAAAGACAGCACCAGACTCCAACTAAATAAGGACGGCATGAATAACATGACGCCAGGATAACAGCATAGGCGGCCAAGCTCAGAAAATTGGCTGGAATCGTAGACTCCATTATGGTCGTTCGACAGTCCTATCATAATGGCTTCCGGTAAACAAAGTTGCCTTTAGTTATACTTTAATTTATTACACATTATCTATTTGTTTAACCTTTTCGTAGCCGGCTTTGCACTGACAGAGGTAAGCGCCTTCGGTGTTGACGCAAACCGCGTGACGTCCACACGTACCGCGGCTGAGGCATTCGTTTCTATCGACACAGTCTCTCCCATTTGACGCAACCTAAATAAAATGGTTAGATATTATTTTTTATGGACGCATTGAGAAATAAGTGGACAATTTTAAAATGCTCAATTAAAGACAACGACGGCTTCTAATCGCTTGCTAGTTCAAGCCTTCATCATGTGATGATGCCTTTTGACGCTGATAGATAAGTTCTAAGGTTCTCGATCTCTACATTCCTCTGTTGTCTTTATGATGATAAATAGTATGGCGCTTTGATCGTCATAACGTTTGCCATTACGTCAATTATTACAGTATTCTCGGTTGTTCGACGGCCGAAGTACCTGATAACCATTCCTACATTGACATATGCCATCTACGCAATGCGCGTGCTCTGTACATTTGTGATCACCCTGGCAAGCCACTTCAACCACATCCCTCTCACAGGATTGGAGCGCATCGCCCGTGTATCCGCGCGGACACTCACATCTAAATGAACCTGGTAAATTGTAGCATAGCGAGCCATATGCGCATGTGCTTTGTAAACATTCGTCGATATCTGGAATATATATATAACAACTCGATTGAATTCAATATCTTTTTAGCCCGGATTTAACTGGGCACCACAATACGCCCCCCACACTTTTGCCCCCCTGAGAGTTATTGGTACGATTTCAGCGATTTATATTTCAAGTCGACAAAAAGTCATGTTGATCATGTTTGCTATGAGGATTAAGAAGTTCATATATAGCTATCGTGGTTTCGGCAATATGATGGTCATTTAACCTATACTTCGACCAACCGCCGCTGCACGACGGAACGCCTTGTGACATTTGCTTTTCCGTGAAAAACATGTTGCCAAATCCTTGCCCTCGTTTGTCTTCAATGATGCGATCGTTAAACTCGCACTGAAGTTCATGTTAGCTAGACTGCCCGAAAGCCCCGAAAAAATGAAGCACGAAGCGTTTCGAAATACTGCATTCAAACAAATTCGACATGTCGGTCTAACTTTACGATCTAAAAGCTTTTGCTAATTAGCAGGAAATTTGCAATGCAAACTGAAACATCACGTCCGTATTCTGTGTCTTCTTTAAGTCGTACTTGAACGTAATTACCCACCTGTACATCCGACCGCTGGATCACCCTCAAAGCCCTCAGCGCAGACGCAGTGGTATGAACCGAAGTCATTTACGCAGCGCGAGTTCGGTCCACAAACTGAAGGGTTCGTCGTGCATTCGTTAACGTCTGCGGCAATACGTCAGCAGAGATTATTGCGTCATTACTATCCTCTGATTTATTGACAAATCACTAAGCGGCCGACAATACCCCTAAAAATGCCATGTGCCTTTCTGCTTATTTAAGCATATTCGCAGCACTTAGAGAGGCGATAGCCAATTTAATTCGTCGTCCTTCTGTAACACAACGTTAACTTGCAAAGACGTACCTTGGCATCCTTTGGGTGAATAGGGATCCCCTTCACAGCCAGGTTTGCACTCACAACGATAGCTGCCGGGTACGTTACTACATTGTGTATTCTGACCGCAGGTATTATCCTAGAAAGTAGTAATGAACTGATGAAGTTATCCCCGAGAACTTGACTCTGAAAAATAAACTTTGTACGATTTGCATGGCTTAATTTTAACCACTAGGAAAGATTTTTTAGAGCTTGCTATATGCAATGATATAGCGCAATTCCATATCACGAAACATTGCGATACATTCCTCTCATTCTGTGATGTATTTCAATAAAACACATACTATTTGGTGTTGGCACTCGTTGATGTCCTGACAACCCAGTCGAGGATTACCGGTGTAGCCTACTTCACATTGGCAGTAAAAGCTGCCGGGCGTGTTATGACAAATAGCATGAACCCCACAGATAGAGCCCTGGGAACTTCCCGATGACGCGCACTCATCCACATCTATACAGCCTGTGTTAAGAATAAGATAATTGCATTTTTAAAATGCCGTTATCCTTTAATCCTGCTATTCTTAAGCGCCGTCCTGCAAGTCAATTACAGGCCTTATCGTCCTAGATACAGTTGAGCTCGTCATAGAATTATAGTATTGGAACCATGAGCCCTATGCTAGCGTAAACATTTCAGCTACCGAACCAGCAAAGGCCATTTACTAAAGCTAACATCAAAATGTAATCATTTTCTATTTATTTATCATTGTATTGCTTTCGTATACCTTTATGAGGCTGGTTTGGATCGGCAAATCTATACCCTGGTAAGCAGGAGCAGGAAAAGCTACCAATGGAGTTGTGGCAGATAGCATTGGGTCCACAAAGAGGAGCGCCCTCGCACTCGTCCAGGTCATTGCATGCCGTGTATGGGTCGCCCGTTAAACCAGGCGGGCATTCACACAAATAGCTACCAGCCGCGTTACGACACGATGCCTGTTGCATAGAATCGTAGCGTCAGTAATTGGTTAGTATAAGCATATAACTATTAATATGCTTACCTATACTGAAGCTAGAAATCGATTATGAGTTCGTATGGTACTCAAAAGGTGTTTGTTGAAATAGACATAACGAAATACCTGAATGAAATGAAATAGCTTTTGTTCCTGTACCTGATGTCCACACGCCCCAGGATCATGACATTCGTCGAGGTCGTGACACTTCTCAGTGGCGTTTCCGGTAAAGCCGTCAAGACATTTGCAAACGTAGTGACCGGGCAAGTTACAACATTCGGAGTTCTCGACGCATATAGCACGTAATTCGGGAATGTCGCATTCATTGACGTCTTCCAAAATCAGAATAAAACCAAACAAACAAATTAAAACGTACTAAATATGTGTCTCAGATAGAATATCTACTGCAAGGCAACTTCACTGCTTTTGATACGTGGTCTCCAGGGGTCAATCGAAATACTGTAACGGATTACCCCAATCCATGGGCTGTACAGGGCTGGGCAACCGAATGGGTCAAAAAACAAAATATATCTTACGAAATTGGCTAAAAGATGCGTACGATTCTTATTTAGAATGCAACTATTATGCACCAAGTTCCGTTTTCTGGGACGCATGATGGTCCAAAGCACCAAAGCGACATGTTTATAACAAGTGCGAACAAATAAAGGGATCGAATCTCCAAAAAAGATCACTGCTATTAAGATCATTAGAGAGTGCCAATCTTCCAAAAGAGTACTATTATATTACATATATTTCGACCGCGGCCTTTCCTCTGTACGCAAAGACGGCGAACATCCGGCACTTCTCCCCGCGAACGAAATTTTGCTTTTCGTCACGATATAACACAGAAGAACGGCCTTGAAGCGTGTCTAGTCGTTGGCGCCAAAGTTCAACTCGACTCATGACGATTTCCATTCTTTGTTGTACGTTTGCTCCCATGCGCGCCGACCTCTAGCAACGGTAGTTACTGTACATAGGTCGTATGAATGTTTTTTGTTTCGGTTAAATAGCTGCTATACTTGGAATTACGAGGTGAGGCGAGATAATAGTTTATATATATATTTTATTATAGTTTTAATTAATAGTTTATATATAGGATATTTCTACAGTGAATCAAAAGCAATTTCGAACACATTGGCATAAATTAGTATAGGCATCTGTCAGCGCATATATTGTCCAAAATCGATAACAGCTAGAGCTGGTTCACGCTATGCTTGCCGCCAACCGCAATTTTCGTCCTTTAGTAAATAAGCCCAGATTCGCCACTTTTGCTTTCGTTAAGCGGACGGTCGATCGATTATCGCACACAATGAGAACCAGGGCCGGTTGGCACGTATACCGTTACGACCCTTCAGCCCAGATTCGGACGAATGTCCAACCTATAAAAATACTGCCGTTGGACGTGATTGAATCACGCTACGGACCCTTAACCAGTGCTGGCTATACAAGATGCAGGATTTAGCCACAGTAAAACGCTAAAGACTATTGTTCAGGTTCGTTGTATGGGCATCAGACTTTCGTCTTAGAGGTGCTCCTTTTAACAAGACTAATTTTATGTCTATTTATATTTACGACCTATAAATAGGAAAGTTACATGTGGGTAGTTCTGACTAGTGGCTTCTACAAGGTGTATGTTGCCAAGGATTTACCTCGTCACAGAGAAATAGGCATCACTTGTCTGATCAACTGTTTGCCTTTGATGGTGATTATTTGTCGCAAATCGATAACTAAATAGGCAAACTTACAAGTCGTGACTAGTATCGATACTTAGCGCAACTTGTCGACCGAAAATTTTCGACATCGTGCGTTCAATCACGCGCCGAAGTCGCTGCAGAACTACACGAGCGAACAGCCACGAGCTGTACGTGTACCTGTTTTTCAGCGGCAAAAAAAATACCCCTCACAAAAACTAAATATATATATATATAGCTAATAAACGTAGCGTCGTTGTGACGCTGAATAACTATAGAAAGCCATTTGCATAGCACAGGCAGCTCAACGAATCAAACTCTTGTATTTCCATAATAATTCATGATAGTAGTGGTAAAATAATTAGCTTAGCAGTCAGTCAGTCACTAAAAGCTAATATTACTAGCGGCTAACTACAATGCATTGCTGGATAAAAGACAGTTACGACAAAGGTTCTCTTGACGGCATGATTTTCGTTCATAAATGGCTATTGTTTACATAAGGACATGTATAAGCGAACGCGCATTAAATATAAAACTATATGTTATTATATGATGATTGAAAACAGTTCCTCATACATAAAAAACAGTCCTCGCTCATAGAAGCGGTCAAGTAGAACTGCCTTTGGGGTAGTTTAGGAAGTTCTCCCTAAATAAGCTAAGGTTGATCGACGGAAAAACGCGCAACGAAAAGCTAGCTCATTTACCATACAGAGTGGCAGTTATCTATGATCCTACTGCTTCGAACATTCTGGGGGCACTTTTCGGACATTACATACTGTCGGTTGTTATTAAAGCCCCCACCCCCGACCCCCCACTCCCCAAAAAAGCTGTTTTAAGCCGCCGTCGAGATAGCAAATTGCTCCGTATTACAAAGTGCATCGAAGCAAAGCCAATCTGGAACCCAGCGTTGCTTTCTCTTTTCGACCCAATAACAAATTAACGATACTATGGATATTTTTACCAACTCGGTTAACGTGCGAACATTTTGCCTTTCAGAGGTAATTTATTTATATCATTGCATACAGGCCCAGACACGAATTGCCTTAATCAAATGATGCCGCGCGTAGTCATGCTCTACGCGGTGAAAGACCCGACCGGTTAGGGAATGGACACACGTTATAACTACGCCTTGTATAGTGTATTATTGATACGGCAAGACGTGAAACGAAGAAAGAATACGGTTTTGAGGTATGGTGTCACTTTGTCGAGTATCATCTTTGGTATCGTTCTTATTTTCGACTGTAGGCAAAATATAGCACGAGATACTCGCCTTTCTTAGAATATGGCCAAACGAGCTACCCTGAAAGATCTTGAAATTTGCCAGGACAGATCATTGTTGTTGACGTTATTTCAATGGTGGTCGACGCTCATGGGTTCGAAAACGTCTAGCCAAAATGGGATACGAATCCTGAGCATTGTACCGGTACTAAGTACATTAATCCAGTAATTTATTTCATATCTATAGATATTGCCCACCGCGAAAATAATTCAAAGTTGCGATGTTCACTAGAAAATTTGCGTGCCGTCTTGCCGTCACTTCTATTATGTTGAACTATTAGTGAACGCATTAGCCATCAGTCGAAAGTATCGCCAGTCAGAAACATTAAGCCAATAACTGTACCTTGTACCTGCTTGTCCTAAAGGAGAACTTCTCATGGATTCTCAGATATTTGTAACCCAGCGTTTCTGTAGGTGTTGTCGTTTTTCTGATAAAGCGAAAATTAATCTGCTACTAATTCACAGCTGTAAACAGCAATTGCCCTTCACGTAAATAGTGGAAACACTTTGGAAATCGCATCTGAGCGTCTACGCCCGCTTAGTCGGGGCATTTGCACGTTCCTTTAGTGCAGGGCTCGTGTTGAAGAACAACGTTGAGCCTTTACTGTTTCTTCAGAAATATGCACATATGACATAGGCTTGGGCATCTGTCCTTGCATGCATCGGTGTGTGTCGTGGTTGAATGAAAGGTGAGTCTTGTATTCCTCTGGGGCTGTTTATTATCTAGCTTGCGTTCGACATCTTCCCTAGACTTCGTCATGCTGTTCCCTGGCTAACAAGCGTCGTGTAAATATAATTTTACGCATATTAGTTTCAATCTGGCAAAGTCAATCAACGACGATGCCGGCGAAGGCGACTACGGCAGCAGGAACAGAAACGGCGGCGCCCTGCTCATTTGAGGTTATGACATAAGAACTGCTGGATCACTGCGCTCAGGCACCCCAACGAGCGCCCAAAGTTGAGTTGACTAAGTGGCCAGATGCACACACATTAGACAGCCAGATTCGCCTATTCACTGCTACCACATTGGCCTGTGACGGTCGTTTATGCAACGATCAACCACCTGCAGTGATCGATCGAAACTTTTTGCTCCTGGAAATCTCTGGGTTACTTTACACCTCCATTTTGAGATTTGTAATTGTTTTTGTCGATTGGCACCTTTAATGTTATCGAAATCAAGCTGCACCGATTGTCCAGCGAAGCGTTTCAATTTCGAGAAAATTAACACAGTGTGGCCATTGGCACTCAGTGCGCCTGGTTCGAATAAAGTCTACAATCGCACCTAATGGCATGTTCAGCAGCCGTCTCATTTTTATATCGTCTTCATTATGAGCATTGTTTCGCGGTGACATGCAGTTGCCTTTTAATTGTCGTGCAAGTCGACTACTTCTTTTGGTTCCTCTAGACTCTGACGGCCTGTGTCGTTTTGCTGTTTTCACCGCTGGCATTGGTACCGCTGCTGCCGCCAGCTGAAAAGACGCCAACTGCCCTCTGGCCACGAAATGTCCACCGAGCACGATCGATCGACCGACCGACCGACCGACCGACCGACCGACCGACCGACCGACCATCTACCGTTGATCCCACAGCCCTGCAACAAATCGCCGGCGTACGCTGCATTAATGTTTCGAACTTTGCTTGCTACGAGACAAGCAGGTTACTTTTCTCCGCATAATGGCTCGTTGCTTGTACCTTCTGCACGTTTGCTGCGTTTGTTTCTTCTAGACGCACAGAAGCAACGCGATCTAACAAAGGAGACGCGAATGGAAATGATCGCCTCAGCAAGCGCGGCCTTTGGCAACCTGTTACTAACTGGCCAACCAGCAGCCGAGGCATGAAGCAATAACGGCCGTTTCCATCCCGCCTCCCACCCCCAGCCCATCTGCACGCTCTCAGAAGTCAGAGGAAACGCATCACGGAGAGAGACAGATCATGCTCGCAACATTGCGAGCGTACTGCTACTGTTCCTACAGCCGATCTTGTCGACGATCGTGTTGAGTGAAAAAGACGAGGAGAATCGTGAACTGGACGGTCCTTTCGCAATTTCTGGTCATGATGATGGTGGCGTGAGGCATAATTCGCTTGTTATACTGAGGACGCTGTCATGGTTATTACGCTTCTTCCTCGTGCAGATTTTTGCGACGCTGCATGTACACAGGGTACTCAGGAAGAGACGCGTACATATGGTAGATTGAGTGCGGTTCAATAGGGAACTCCCTATTGGCTCTTTGAATGTATTTCTAGTTGAAGGCGTACGTTAAAACACGTACATAGCGAATAAAGGTCGTAAAAAAGACGCATTAGTTAGATATTTATTACGCCCGGTAACAACGTTCTTCTGTCCATCAAGGGGCTGGTTTTGCGCCAGATGCGGTAACAATTTTCCCTACATCACTTATGGTTTTTTCGACTCGGGAAAGATGCGTAAATTCAGTCATACAGCCAGCAGTCTTCTAGCCGTTGCTATGTCGTTGCAATAGAACGAAGCAGAGTCAAAATGAACGACCGACTTCATTCATAAGGGTCCTTTAGCCTGTATTTAGTAACCCGAAAGGTTCTGTCAACTGATGTATGGTTTTTAGCTGTAAGATAGTTCATTAATGTCGTGGCATTGCAAGGGCGTAATGGCGTCAGATCATAATGGGACTGCATATGGCCTTCGGTGTTCGGTACAGGCCAAATTGCTTTTGACGATTTGCTGGTGGCGTATAACGAAACGTTCTCCACTGCCCATACGAACGCAAACGTTTTGTAAACATTCAAATCAAAGCTATAAATGCTGGCTCCCTTTAATAACCAACCTGAAGACGTACACGCTCTTTTCCGGTGTTGTTTATCAGTACACAATATCACTTACTGCTGTACTATAGCGCTAGATAGAGTGATTCGGCAATTATTTAGCAGTAAATACCTTTACACTCGAACCCGTCGCCTTCATATCCGGGAAAACAGGAGCAGTAGAAGCTTCCCATTGTGTTGGTACAATGAGCGAAAACGTCACAAGGCCTAAAATTGTATATAAAACAACAGGTAAATATCATAACACAGTAATACTTGCGTATATATATATATATATATATATGTGTGTGATTTTTAAAGGTGCTCCAAATATGCGGATTATCATACAGTAACAAAATGTTCAAAATCATATTACTATATATACCACCTATTAAAATGCTATATGTAACTACTAATATCAAGGAATAAAACGTTTCTCATTTACGAATCTGTGAACGCATTCAAACGACACGATATCTAGAAGAAGCTGTTTTAAATAAATCGATGCGTCTGAGAGGTGAGCTCTGCAAGTCGGGCGCTCTGGGCGTCAGCCGTACTATATACACTTCAGTAGATAAAGGACGCAACGGCTTTTCACAACACGTGAAGCTTAATCGGTTTGCATTTTCGTCCTATAATCTATAAAAAAAAAAAAAATAATAATAGAACGAATACAAATGGCCTCGCCATGAATAGTGCGTATATCAGATAGCAGAATCACGTTATTACTATTTTCCGCGTTTAGGGATACCAGCTGTAGAACGCATATGCTTCCTATATTTATCTCCATGAAGATTACACTGAATGATAATATTTACCACCACCTCAACCTTCATTCTTGTTCTATTAATCGTTTGCTGTTCCCATCGTTAAATCCAATGTACAGTTAGCCAACTAGTGTCCTAGTAGTCACCCTGCTTCTGCTAAGGCTGAGATACTTCTCTATAGATTTTAAAGAGACCCATACACAGGAATTAGTTAGAGATCGAGCTCGATTTAAAAAAGTGTTTTCACCGTCTCATACATAGAATTTTGCGCGTTTCGATATCCGCACAGTCCGAAACAAATGCACTAATATCATTCTGAATGTACAACTTATGTCGCTGAAAGTTTCCTATAGAAGTTACCGAGGAAAGCTTGACTGTGGTCACTCTCCGTCCAACTAAGATAAAATTAAGATTTCTGTCTTGGAGTAGCTGCGGTCCGCCACACTGTGCTGATCCAATAAATCTTATAATGTTGGTCTAGTTTCACGTTCCCCTTAAGGCGTTGTCGAATATTGCTTAGACCTCTCGCCTTGTCGGATCTACGTCGCGAATTGTTGCGTCAATATCCATACTATCAGCTACCCTCTATATTGAAACGTTTTCCTGAACTACTTCAAAAAAGCTCCTTTGCTACGAATATTTCAGATCCCAATTATCGTATATCTCTCCGACGGTGTTCTTCGATCAACTTTTACGCTCGATTTCTCCTTTCCTTTTAGATTAAACACTTATTTATGTAAGCGTTCTGTTTTCTCTTACTAGCTACCACAGTATATATATATATATATATATATATGAATCTGGACCGAAAACAGTTAGAGGGTCACGAAAACTGAAAGGACCCCGTTGATAACGTTGTTCAGAAATGTAAATGTCGTTCTCGATGATCTATTAGTTAATATTCGAAAAGCGTAGATATGAATATGGCCTATGATCAGGCTTCCTATTCGAATTTACTCCTACCTGTATTTACATTCGTTCTCATCAGGCATCTCGCATCCTTTGCCACCGTATCCGTCGTTGCAGTAGCAGAGTCCATCGAGACAAGCGCCGTTCCGGCAACGCGCCATCTTCGGGTGGCAGTGATCTATAATAATCGACAGCGATGCTTAGCAACAATGACAAACTGGGGCAAATAAATGTTCTTACCAAAATACAGAATCATTGGCGTTCATCTAACGGCTGGCAATAGCTGAACCTCTACAAGTCCCTAGACGACAAGCTATAGGCGATGAACGAGATATTGGATAGGTGTGAATTTACGACTGAACACCAAACACCGTTTCACCCTACCTAAATGACAGTAGTTAAATGAAATCAATTACGAGTACCTACTATTTCGAAGCTGATACTGAAGCAGTATGTTCAGACAGAACGTAGTTTTAGTTCGTGGACGTGGCAGGTTCCCTCACCCCATCGCCAAATAAACAACCGAAAATCAAATTGGGAAAATTTTCCATTGGCAAGACCAAAATATAGCTTTCACTTGCTGTTTCTAAAGATGTGGCAGTGTTTAACATCGCGAACGAACGAAAACGCTACATGGTAGCTTATCTTCAAACCATAGATGATTCGAAGTAAGCTTTTCGTTCTGTAAAGTTTCACGCATATCTACATCCTGAAGCGTAGATAATGCTGATTAATTGTAGATACATTTATCTGGATAGTTTGCCGAAAGCACATTTGAACGGCTGTAGAAACTGGAGAGTTTTAATTAGATGATCGAAACCTCTGGGCGTTTTTGGGGATGATGTTCTTTTGCTCATTGTGTAGAGCGTATCTATGATACTAGAGAACAGCCAGAGTGTTGCTTATGCCCTCTGTTGTGCGTAGTTCACTGTAGCAGTATAAAAAAACCAGTCAATTTTCCAAGCTGTTCACTGTCGTCGCAGTACCTTATCGTTTTCAGTTATTCTTACTATCGCTTAATGGCGATACTTCGAAACGGTCGATAGGACTCGCTTTGGCAAATGTCTAGGCTCACCCAAACTAGGCTAGGAACCAAACTCACCGATTGGTCTTCGACGTTGCGCATGTTACACTATAGGTAACGAAACGATAACCCGTAAAAGTAATGGGTTAGAACTTCTGAAATGGGCACGTTTCAGTCAAACCAGTACAAGAGCAAATCGCCCATAAACACCCACCGCAGTCTTACGCCAATATTCATCGAACTCAACGAGCGCCCAATGTTCCATAAAGGTAAAGCGCCAGTATGAACTGAAAGATCGTGCTTTTCACAAGAAGATTTATGGGTACGCTTACTCCAGTTATACTTATTGTAGCAATTATTCCTATATATGCCTCACCTTAGACCCGTCTATTTATTTATTATTTCGTTTATTAATTTGCTTTGTAACTATATAAAAGGAGTATATATTTCTCAACGAACTATAATTAAAGACTCCTACTCCTTTGTGCTGATAGTTTTTGTATTCCGCTAAAAAATGTAATCGCTTTAGCATCATCATGTCATCTCTTACTTGTCTCTTCATCCCTTACATCTCTCATCTTCATAGGTGTCACTCATCAAAACAGAAACAAAAGGCATACGCTTTTCTAACACAAAATAACGATAACTCGACGAAAAGTTATAATTCGTTCACTCTTGCAGGCGTAGGCAAAAGCCATCGTTATAAATCGATCTTTGCAATACCGATATCGAAAGAAAGGAAATCTGGTCCCTTTTTTGTGCTTCATCTGAGAGAAGTGGCAGAGTGCGTTCGAGCTAAACAAAGGCGACAAACGCTGCCAAAATGTCCTTCGACCATACTCATTTTCCTATAATTTTTGGGTGAAGATATCGACACTATTTGATTTTTTCTACGACGGCCTCTAATATCAATCTACCTAGGAATATCTGGTTTGAATTGAATGAGGTCGGGGAAGACATTGCATCTTTGCCCTAACAGATCGCAATCAACTGGGTCGTTGGGGCTAGCGATGCTATCGCTGCTACTACAGAATGGGCAATAAAACCGTACTCGTTTCGGGTAACAAGGGTGACAACTTTAAAGAGACGTTCGTCGATTCATCAACTTGGCTGGACTCGCTCAATATATGTCATCAACCAGTGTCAGAAACTTTGATTTGGATATGGTTCATTCCAAGTGTTTGAGAGATGTATCAAAGTGCTTGTTTTGTTTGTCCAATTAACTCGCGAAATGTACAAACACCCATTAGTTACTGAAGAATAAGCAAAAGAAGCACATCCCTATTGGCATATATATATATATCATATTATGCAATGCAGTCTATGTACATATTCATCACGCACTGCAAGTGTGCCACCGCTTTTGCGGTCAATAGAAACCCTTTGTTTCAGTTCTGGTTCACGTTATATAAAAAATTTCTCATTTTCTATTGCTTACATTATCCTTGTCAATGTTCACTCCGTCGCACGTCTGATTCCGCCTCGCCCCGCCCCGCCCTCCCCATACTGTATGGGGCATTTGAGTATAGTATCATTAGATGTGCGACTAGCTATCTCCCGATGTTGACGTTACATTGGTATAATTACATTTTGATGAAAGTGTTCTAGTTTTAGAACGCAGACTTATCTTCTATTTCAGTATCGATTTCACACGTTTTATAGAAGTGTCCATTCCTGATGAACGAAATAGTTCTTTCAGCTGCGGGATTTCTGACGTTGGCTACGGGGTCAGAAGCCGTGACGAACAAGAGCCGTTAGCTTTTATCAAACCTCTAACTTTGTCTTAATATACGTTCATTACACTGATTGAGTGAATGCGAGTCATATGCGATGAGTAGTAATTTAGGAAGCGTAGCAAAAGGATACCAAATATAGTGTTTGTGCAAAATGAAAACTTAAAATGTGCATGTACTGGATACGGGGAAGCGAAGGGAAGCGCCGACTAGCGGCAACTGCCGCGTTCATCATTGTAAGTTTTTCTAAGCAATGCCTGTTTCATTGAAGCGTAGTTATAGGGGCAGAGGGGCTGCCTTTATTTCGCACTCGACCCACCCGAAGCGCAAAGGAAAGAATTTTCAGGTGTTATTCGTTAGACAAGTGGACGTTGAGTAGCGTGAGCTTACAGAAGCAATGCTTCGGAAAAATTTAACGTGACCGCTGCGTTTAATCGTATGCAGATGATGGTGGCACGAACGACCCCAACGTTCCGTGATATAACGAATAAACCAAGCTCCTTGTTCGGTATCACCCAGCGGTTTGAACGATTTAGCCAGCAGGGGTTCGTTAACTTCGAATCTTCTCTGTCTCTCCTTGTTACTCTCGACATATATATATATCTGTTGTTACAATTATACTAACGAAGGCAATAACACCGCAGTATCAGGCGCGCCTTGCTTTTCCTCTCCCCAGCGTCGCGCGGCTGTATCCATCAGTACTGCCATGACCAGCAATAGCTGATCGACTAACAACGAGGAAAATGTCTCCCAATAGTGATTGTCACACAGCGGGACGTGCACTCGAATGCGTAGCTATAAACACTCGGAACAGACGTAGGGTTCACGTAAATTTTTCGCGTATCCAGGCTCAAATCTCGCCTTTTAAGGCCAAAGATCTCACTCTAAATTTTGAAGGTTAAATATTCATAAATAATCGTGGACAGTGATAAGGCATAATTAATGATGAATATAATGGCTTGATATATATACGCATATGTATGTGTGTGTGTGTGTGTATATATACATCTATTGGTACAAACAACACACGATAAAATATAGCGACCAGCTAGGATAGGCATTTGTCTTCTAGTCGGTATATCGCCGTGTCGTTGCCAAAGGTTATCAAGGGAAATCAAATCAAATTTAATTTTATTATCGATTTGACGAGAAAATGTGGGGTTGTAAAGGGAACATACGATTACTATACGTTTGAGCTAGGAACGTTGAAGCTTCGCTGAAATATGCGTCCGATATTGGTAGAAGCCGAATGCATTTTGCGGCCAGTGTATGTACGTACATTGCGTACGTGGCATAAAAAAGCCGCAGGCATTACTTACTGTCATCTTCGTGCGTGGGACTAAACTAACCTAGTTCGCGTAAAAATAAACTTTCAATGGGGTAACAACTGAACAAGGGAGACTACGTCGTTCTACTCGAAAATAGTATTAAATTCAGTGATAAAATAACGTTGTTTTGCTAAGACCTAAACGTTTGCTTTTGGTTGGCATTGCGTATTTTTTTTTCTATCTGTTTCCGTCTATTTAATTAATTATTCTCAATCTATTTCTCTTATTGCTCAAGTTGGCTGGGCACTTTTTCAACAGCAGTAGCGGCTGGAAATAGAGCAAATCCTACCTATGTCTGGATGGTTGACCACCGCACACAAAGGCCCTAATGTCCCATACTTGTTGAATTATAATGTACAGGTACCTAATCCTTATGATGGCGCTACTTCAGTCGACTAGCTAGCCGCGTTAACGGATAAGTAATGGTTTATAGCATTGGTCGGCTCAAATGTATATAGCGAATTCGTGTACCCGAAACGACCCGAGCTCCGCTGATATCTTCGAAATGGCATCGAAACTGTCAGCGCCTACAAGGGACGGTGTACTCGTTAAAAAAAATTAGAGGTGTCAAACCACGCTTTTTCAGGCTGATTTATGTTTGTATCGGAAGGTAAAATCTTGCCACTGTCACTGGACATAGTCTATATATGGCAGCGCTGTATATCATACTTAACCGAGGACATCCCCGGCGAGCAGACGGAGCCTCCGATGATTTGAAACACGAAGCACGTATTGCATTCCAACCTTAAGCAGTGATGCTTATGAAAATCATTAACAATATATAATTAGAGAAGGCCAAGGCTCCTTGACGTGTTGGTGCATCTGGGCAAAAGCAATCGTTGTCAGTCATGCGCGCAGTCACTCAAAAACTGCCGTTGTCCTTCGGCCAAATAAAACCACCTTCTCACTTTTATTATTATCATCTCCTCATATCGTGCACTTATCTGTCAACAAGTACGCCACTATCGTATCGAATTTAAAATGTCTACTTTACTCAAACGTGTTTCCAACCAGTCTATTGCGTTCCTTTTTTCCGTATTCATCCCCTCTATTCATTGCTTTTTTTCGCTATCACAGTTGATGAAAGTCAGAT